AGTATGGTGAAAGGATACAACCCTGATGCACATCTTTCCTGAGATAAATCTATAAGATAATTATTCCCTTAACTATCTGCCTTCTCTCAGGAGAAAGATGTGGCAGTCTGCTTCCATAAAAGATTTACAGCCTTGGAAATCCTATAGGGCAGTTCTACTCTGTTGTACAGGGTCACTATGGGTCAGAAAGACTCAATGGCAATGGGTTTGGGACCTGCCTTAAGGATTACGATTTTCTAAACTTGATACTTTCCTCAAAAATTTGCTTTAATCGGGTCTGAATCTGCTCAGAGCGAGGTCAATGTGATGTGTTAAATACAAAAGGGTATTTTGTACATACAAAACCAAAGCAAACTCGTTGCCATCGGTCAATTCTGACTCGGTGATCCTACAGGACGCAGTAGAACTGCCCCACAGGGTTTCCAAGGAGTGGCTGGTGGATTCAAACTGGTTAGCAGCCATAGCACTTAACCACTATGCCACCAGGACTCCTATTTTGTACACTGTGGGTGTTTAACAGAAATTCTAAACCATTTACATCTGTTCATCTATACAGCAGTCAGGCTTTCTAGTCATTTTTCTACCTTATAAAAATTAGTTACACACTCCCCACATCAGTTTTTATTTTGCTCATCCTTTTGAACTCTTTCCCATATATTGTTTTGTTAAATTTTTAAAGCACTGAGAACAATGGTCGAGAATAATTTTATTCTTTTATTTCACTTTCTTTTATTGAGGGGGAAAAAAATTAGCAGCCATTGATCAAATTAAGCTCTTGAACTATTTTTCAATCACTTTTCTTTTCTAAACTTTACTTTCATAATTTTCCCACCCAATTTGCAACTGCTTTCCTACGATCATGCCTTTTCACTTTAGTAACTAAAATGTCATTATTTACTAAATACCTCAGCACTGACCTTTGTGGTTACTTTGTTGAAAACCTGGCTGTAATCTGACACAGCATTAACCAATTCTGATTACTTATCTGGTACATGGGTGATAATACCCACCTTTCAAGAAAAGATGACAGTTCAGATAGGTAATTTGACAAAACTAGGAAACAGCAACATCAGTTCTAAGAACATAGGAAAAAACTGAACAGAGAGTTGACATTTCTGCCTGGTGTTAGACAGCGTTGTTCTTTTAGAGACCACAGACAGCACGCACAAAAGTAGGTGGAAACGATACATCTGCAGACAATGGCAGCTAGAATTACTCGCCACATCTGGCCACAGTCTCTTAAGATAAATAACTTTCTGGTGACGCGTAGGGCTGAAATTACTAAAACCTAAGCCCACAAGTTTTGTGGGTTTCACAATTTTATGCAATCACTATTCTGACATTTGTAACATCATTTTTTCCCTAAAATGCAGATGCCAGAAAGAGCAAGCTATCACTATCACTTGATGACTTTTGTTCAGATTTTGAAATAATAAGCTTAATTCTTTGGCAAAATCATTCTTGAACCATATTTTTATTTAGGTCATTAAGACAACCATAATCATCTCCTTATAAGGAAAAGTTTCATTAAACATGCTACAAAGCTGCAGCCTGTTTAAAAAACCAGTACTTGCAGCTTGTTAATAGTTCTAAATGTCTAGGCTTACTAAATGAAAACACCCTTAAATAGTTTTATCTCAAGAGTCTGAGCAATACAATTGGCATAACACAGTTTATAAAGACAATGTTCTACATTCTACCTTGGTGAGTAGCGTCTGGGGTCTTAAAAGCCTGTGAGCAGCATAAGATACTCCACTGGTCTCATCCCTTTGGGAGCAAGGGAGTGTGAAGAGAACAGGATACAAGGAAAAGATTAGTCCGAAGGACTAATGGACCACAGCTACCAAGGCCTCCACCAGACTGAGTTCAGTACAGCTAGATGGTGCCTGACTACCAGCACTGACTGCTCTGACCGGGATCACAACAAAGGGTTCTCGACAGAGCTGGAGAAGGCTGTAGAACAAAATTCTAACTCACAAAAAAGAGACCAGATTTACTGGCCTAGAGGAGACTGGACAAACCCCGAGAGTATGGCCGCCAGACACCATTTTAGCTCAATGGTGAAGTGATTTCCAAGGGTCACCATTCAGCCGGGGAGTGGACAGCCCCATAAAACCAAATGGGACTAGTGAGGCACAGCAGTCCAGGGAAAAGGGCCAGAAGGCAGAAGGGGACAGGAAAGCTGGTGATAGGGAACCCAAGGTTGAGTTAAGGATAGTGTTGATGTGTTCTGAGGTTGTTAACCATTGTCATAGGGCAACACGTGTACTAACGGTTAAATGAGAGACTATTTTGTTCTGTAAGCCTTCATCTAAAGTGAGAACAGCAGCACAACTGCAAGAGTGTAGTTGATGTCACTGAACTGTACATGCAGAAACTATTGAAATGGTCTATCTTTGGCTATGTATACTTTCAACAACAACAACAAAGGTCGAGAAGGGAGAGGGTTGACATGTTGTGGGGTTGTTAACCAATGTCAGAAAACAATATGTGTACTACTGTTTCATGAGAAACTATTTGTTCTGTAAGCCTTCACATGAAGTACAATTAAAAAAAAAAAAGTCTGAGCAACAAAAATCTTAAAAAGTTGACAATGGAAAAAAGCTAAACATTCCGGGAATTTCCATAGTAATAGGAAATGGCATTAACTACTTACCTTATTAATCTTTCCATAAAAATGACTATTTTGCCTTAATTTTTAGAATATTTAGGGGAGGTATCTGCCATTATAAAATGGTGTTCAGAAGGCTCAACAGTCTGAAGAGGGAGGACAGGTGGGAGGGAGGGGGAAAGGAGGACTCTGCTGAGTGGACACTGTTATGGGTGATGGGAAAATTCGGGAATAGGTAATGGTGATGGCTGAACATGATACCAACACAATTAATGCCACTGAATTGTACATGTGAAGAATGTTAAAATGGCAAGTTGTTGTACATATATTTACCACACACACAAAAAAGTCTGAAGAACATGAATATGGAAGCTCCTTTATATTTAATTTTGATCCACACAGCACTAAAAATTGAGGAAACATCCTCCATCCAGGACTGAAATTACCCATGAACTGATTTGTAACACTGGATAGTAGTATCTTTTTAAACACTAGCTCCTTTTACCTCCCCCCTTGTGTAACAACCCAAGTTCTATTCTCAAAGTGACATTAATGAAAAGGTGAAACAACAGCCCTGAATTTTCAACTTTCTTGGAGATTGTCTTCCTTTCTCCCTGTTGGTATTGTTAAAATTTCCTTCATTTTAATTTTCTGGGGAGTTGTTAATTTGTGTGTCACAAATTTTTAAAAATACTTCAGCTGAGGAAAGACTTTATTTTTACCAGAGTTGTCATTTACTGAAATGGCTTGTTTTGCTACTATCGTGACAAATCTTCTTTAAATTAAGCCAATGAGCCCACGAGCACCTTTTCTATAGAAAAATCTACTCCTATCTTTCACATTATTTCTTGAGCCAGGTCAATACTTGTTAATCTAGTACTCACTATTCCCTGAAGAGATAGCATTCACTGATTTCAGAAGGAAAATACTCCCAGTGGTCAATGCTTTTTAAAAAATGTACAAGGATGAACTTTATTAAACATGTGAATTCAAGAACACTCAGGTTTTTTTTTTTTTTAAGATTACACCATGAGAAGACAAAGCAGATCAACAGTAATGGTTTATATATACAGAATCTAAAAACTCTATTTGAGAACACTATACTTATCAAATAGATTGGATATAAATACTGACTTCAATGTTCAAACTAATACAATGAGTATGTTATACGTCCTCTAGCTGTTTCTATACTCTACTAAACAGGAAACTTCTCAACTGTACCACCACTCCCAGACTTATTTCCCATAGTAAGTTTGACATGCTCCCATTGATATGCCATTCTGAAATGTAAATAATATGTAAGCCTCTACCTCCGGCCGTTTTCTACTTTGCGTACTTCGTTCTCTCTCTCGTCTCAACCCACCCAAGACCCCAGAAGCCATCCTTCTCTGAGCAGGACCAACTTGGTCAAAATAGGATCGAGACTGGATGGCTCTAAGCAGAGGAAAAATCTCCCATAATATCCTCAATTCTGAGTTCCCCTTTCCTTTTGGCAGGTATCTAATTATACCTAAGATGGTATGAGAAGACATACATGCTCAGAGAAAAAGAAAAGCATTTTGAACTACCAATCTTCACGTTAGTTCTGCAGCTGCCCCTTACCAATCAGTGTACTCACTGTTTTAAGTTCCCAACTGAAGACACACGCAGTATTCAATAAAGCACCCAGAAACTTCATGGTAAGCACCATAGAGATTCAAAGGAAAATGTATTAGAGGTAGACAGGAAAGAAAAAGCGAGAAACCATTCTTACAAAACCATGGCAATTCACACAAATGTGCTTTCATAAAATACTTTAAAATGGATAAATTCAATCTTAAGTGATATTTTGTCCCATGACCAATATTTTTCTACTCAATTTTTTTACTGTTCATGAAAAGATAAAACACTTACCTCTAGAAAGCAAATTATCTTCTTTACCTACAAATTGTTAGAGTACTAGCACCAAGTTGATTTTCCAAAAGTATACATAGCTCATAGCTCTATGAAACCAGTAAACTTAAGTTTTTTGATTCATTTAACCCCTATCACATCTATTAGTTTTAAGACTTGCACCCTGAACTCCTATGTACTAGGCTAAAACTGTTCCTTTTTCTGCATATGGCAGTGAAAAGTAATTAGGGAAACTAAAAATCTGATTTTATTCCAGTGGATTTAACTCAAAGATCACGTTGTTAGTCCAAAGAAGCATCCGAGGCATCTTCAATAACCTTTAATCTCCAGTAGTTTTTATATAAAACTGTGTATTTGAGAATCTGCCACAAGAGCAAATATTAAAATTTTAAGATGTTACCTACCCTAGTGTCTAATCAAGAATAGCTATTACAAAAACTCATGCCTCCCCCCACCCAACAATACGTAAGTGCGGACATTAAATGAACAACCATAATTACAAGCTCATATCTTTAAAAAACGGATGCAACAAAGCTCCTTCTGCAGTTATTCTTGAAGCTGGATTTAGATCTAGAAGTTTATCAAGCAGGTCGTATGCTTCATCAGGTACCTTATCCCAGCCTTCTAAATTGGTAGTATCCTCCTCAAAACAACTCCCACAGCCATTACTGTCTCCTTTATGCAATGAACTCCCTGAGCACTGTGCCTGAGAAGTATGTACGAGGTGAGCAGCCTTATGGTCAGCCGTCTCTGAAAAAGTTGGATCATGAGAACCAGGCCCTTGTATGTCACTTGTTAATTTGGTACTTTTAGAATCTATACCCCGGAGCCTCTCACAGAGTTTTCTTAAGTCTTGTGCTGGGACTTCTTTGCTACATAATATTGATTTACCTAAAAGAGAACAAAAACAAAAAACATGCACTTTATCATCATAACATTTGAATATGTCAGAAGGCTCTCCTCTGGTAAACAAGCAAGTCCAACCACGTGCTTTATGGACACATCTGCACTGGGTACAAGGAGATAGTGCACCACACGCTATATTTGTGTTTGAACATGTTAAAGGTCAAACAATAAAGTGGGTGACAGGAAGTAGAAAACAGTGATTTACTGAGCTGTGTCAGGAACTCACTTGACTATGCCACCTTCCTCAGCTTCATCTTATGCTTCTTTAATCTCTAACTGCCTGCAGCGCCCCACCCCTCAACCCGCATTTTTTCAGGCCTCTATGTCAAAGTTGGCTTATGTGGCTCCTGTCTTTGCCAAAGAGGCCCTGCGCCCATGTGCCCAGGACACTTTATCACCTCCCAGCTCAAGAATCATCTCTGTGAGGCCTCTGACACTCAGACTGAGTTGTTTTAAGCTTCTGTTGTAGATTTCTACTATTACTTTTCTATCCTGCACTGTAATTGATAAAATATATGTCTGTTTTGCCTAGGAGACTATGAGCTCTTTGGAGATAGGGACTGCTTATTTATATTTGAACGCCTAAAACCTAGACAATGCCTGGTACATACTGATGCTCAATTAATGTTTGTTGGACTGGACAAAACAGCATTATTCAGACTCTCTATGTCTCTGTTCAAATGTCACGTTCTCATAGATGCTGTCGCTGACCAATCTATCCAGAACAGCTGTGCCCTCTTCACTCTTCATAGCACTCATCTTTGCCTGATAGAATATATTTGTTCAGTCATCCCTACTAGAATTTAAGTGCTACGAGAACACAGACTCAGAATAGTACCTGGCACACATTAAATAAAAAAAAAAAAAAAAAACCAAACCCACTGCTGTCGAGTCAATTTCAACTCATAGCAACCCTCAGTAAATGTTTCTGAATGAATTAAATAAGTTAAGCACACAACTAGGCAATTGCCCATTATTTTTGCCTTATATTTCTTTTTTTAAACAGAAATGTGGCTCTAACCAATCAGTAGGCAGCATTAGGTTAATTTCTAGGGTATGTGGATTATCAACAAAGCAATGAATTTAACTTTGGATTATAAAAAGTTACCTTTATATATTCTGATCTAATTAGTGGACTGCTGTACTAACTCAGGGATGGGGAAGGTGGTGGGGGGGTGAGGCAGGGAAGGGTCAAAGGAAACAAATTACCAAAAACTAAGTTTGTTGAGGATACAATGTGCCAATCCTTTTTAACTTTTAAACCTATTCCTTCCGAAAGAAAGTCACAGCCAGAGGAGAAGAGTAATATAGCTTTATTCCATTAGGTTGCTCTGAAGTCATGCAATAATTTACACTGTAGGTTATAGCATCTCTTCAATCAATATAAAAAGCCTAATTATCTGTTAGTTTGATACTTTTATAGGGCCAAAGACAGGGTTCATTAAAAATATTCAGGGAAAATAATGTAAACTAAAAAAATTATCTTGTTACAGACTACTATGTGTCAGGAATTTTTTTTGGCTCAAGGTTTTTCTTTTAAATTTATCTGACAATTCAACAAGTACTTAATGACAACCTACTACGGGGCTGGTTCCAGGGGTTCAGGGCAGTAGGGCAGGTTAAGACACAAGGCAAGACAAGTACAAGTACTTGCTCTGCTAACCTCAGGTATGTCATTTCTTTGGATCATAAAGGGGAGACACTTATAGCCTGTGGTTGTTGAAATTTGCAGTCTTCTGTACTTAGCCCAAAATTATAGTAAGATCTGACTGAAATAACCACATAAGTCATACTGATTAAAACAGAGACACGTGCTATACAGTAATAACTTTTTTTTAAAATATGATTAACAGCATTATGATAATAAACTTCTAAAAGCCCTTGTCTGGTATCATGGTAGTTGCCCTGGGGAATTTTGTCAGAATTTGTACTTTTATTGTCGGCCTTCATTGTAATGCTGACTAGAGATGGGGGAGATTTAAACTCTTCAACAAAATGCCTTTGTGCTGGCTGATAAACTTCATGTTCATTAATGTCTCATAAAGTTATTCAATACTAAATGAAAGTTTTCTCAATTGAGAATAAAATATATTCCTGTAAGAATACCATTTCCAAGATACTTTTAATTCATGGTCATTTTCCCTTTACATGCATGGATTATTTTGGCCTACTGCTGGCAAACAAAATTTTCTTATAATAGGTATGAGAAGAAAGTCTATGGTGTAATCGTGGGTTGACTGTGCTACAGAAACATTTTCTGGTAAGCCTCTATCATGCGGCTTGCTTCACAACCACCACAAAGTCGTCCTGGTGGGTTACATGGCATTGGCGTGTAAGCAAGGGACGATCATTCTCCAGCAGTGATTCTTAACCAGAAGCAGTTCTTGGTCAAAATCACTTCTTTTTTTTTTTTTTCCAAATTAACAAGCCTGACCCTTCTCAAGATTATGTGTTTCTGAATCTCATTTTCCAGGAAGAAGCAGGGCAGGACAATCATATGTATTTCTTGAAGTTCCTCAGATAATTCTGAAATGTACCCCTGGTTAAGACTTACTGATCTTGGGGTTGGGCACAAGGCAGTCCAACCACTTATGAGCTAGGCTGACTGAACCTTTGTCCCAGAGAGGTGCTCCATATCATGTGGCAGCAAGCTGACTCAATGACATCCACTCTTTGGAAAGTATTAATTATAATTATGCTTGGAGAATAAACACATGAAGGGCATATGAGTTCAGGTTGTTGGCCAGAGCAAGGCTGAGATAATTCTCAGGTCCACTGTAAAGTACACTGCACATCCTAGTCTTGAGAAACAAGAACTCATGTGGCTAAGAAGATGACTTCCCATGTTCAATACATTCTTACACCAGTAAACACATTCTGTTCATCTCTCTTTTCTGCTATCCTAACCCTAAGGAACCTGACAACTAAAACACATTCTATTCTCTTCCCCATTGTCATCCTTTATACTGTATTGTATTTAACTGTTTACTTCTTGGTATAGACTAAAATCATTTAAGGCAGAGACGATTACATACTCAACACCAAGCGGGGCACCTGATGTTTAATGAATATACACTAAAAAAATTAAAACTTATTATTAAAAATATTCCTGCAATAATGTCAAACACAATTAAAGGGAGTTAAACACGATTTTATTCCTTAGTCTTTGAAGGTTATAAAGCTGAACTTTAAATAGTGGAGAAGTGCAGTACTTTGTGTTTGATAAGTTTAAAGGATTATATGTAGAGAATGAAGACAAATTTAAAGTGATGATAAACTGTTTTCTTACACAAATGCAAATTCATTTTCAACTAATTAAGAAACTTTCTACATAAGATTAGAACACTTCATGTACACAGAATATGTTTGTTTGTATACAGAATTTTGTAATAATTTACTAAGTTATTTGTAGAAGATAATCAAAGGCATTTGTTTTGGTCTGTAACATAAAACTGCTTACCAAAAGTCTTAGCAGCCCGGATAGTTTCCCTGGATCCACGAATTGTCATAATTTGAGCCAAAGCAGTTAAATCATCGCTTGCTTTATAAAATGGATATCGTCCACTAAGCAAAGAAAGGAATATGACACCTGCAGACCACATGTCAATTGCTGCAATAGAAAACAAACTTTTAAAATTCCCTTATCTATAATTTGATCATTTAAATCAGCAGTTCTCACTTTATTGTGTATTAGAATCACCTTGGGAGCCTTCAAAATTTCTGATGCCATTCCCAACTCCAAGTTCCTCAGATGATTTTAATGCAGTCAGGATTGAGAATCCTGATCTCTATCCTTAATATAGAATACAATGTTCTCTTTCTTAAGCAACATTTTGGTAAGTTTAAAAGAATATTTCATCATTAGAAAACACTAAGTAAATACACATTTTATAAGATTAAAGGAAATTCAAAAACAGCTATGTGCGCAAAACTCTGGGTGCTTCCCTAGAGTTAAACACTATAAGCAATAAGTTTTCATTTTAGTGAAAAGTATTGAACATTAGAAACTTCTTCAGTCACGCGCTAACTCCAACTATTGCTATAGAAACTCTAATCTCTATAATTCTGGCAGTTAAAATTAGGACCAGCTCAGTCTTCTGTAAAAAAAGCTCCTTTTTTCCCCTTCCTTTTGGGGACGTTCTCTCCTAGGTGTTGACCTCCCAGTATCATGAAATTATCTGCGTTATTCCTTTGGTCACAGTATCACCTGACCTTTTAGTTCCCTTTGTACCTTTAACTGCTCCTTCAATGTTTCTCCCCAGCCTTAAGTGCTGAGGCTCCCGAGGTTCCATCCTCTTCCTCTGTACACTCCCCAATTAGTCTCCATCCACTTCATGGCTTTAACTACCATGCGTATGATGATGACACGTAATTGTATTTCCAGCCCAGACACCTTCCCTGAGTTTCAGACTTACTTTTATTCTGCTGGTCATCTCTATCTGGATGTCCCACAAATATCCTAAACTAATTATGCTCCAAACCAACCTTACTTTTCCCTATAAACCAGTTCTTCCTCCTTTTATTTTCCATCTTGGTTACTGGTACTCATCTAAGTCCCCTGAGCTAGAAATGTGGTAAACATCCTAGATGCCTTTTCCTCCCACCACCCCTTACCCAAAATCCCACATCCAATTACCCATCAAGCTCTGCCTCTCCAATCCTTCACCTATCTTTCCATTCCTACTACCAACACCCTCATTTAGGCTTTTATCGTCTCCCACCTGGATCACTGCAGACCACCACTCTCCAAAATTTACACTCTCTAGACACCTGCCAGTATGATCCATCTAGAGTATAATATTGCCATCTCCTTCCCTTGAATAACTTTCCCATACTTACAGGCTACAGTCCAAGCTCTTTAAGAAGTGTGATCTGACCGTGTCTACCTCTTTCCAGGCTTAATTTTCACATTCCTGGTCTTGCATCTTCTAGCAACACTAAACTTTAATAGTTTCCTGCATCACTAGACCATGCTGTTTCTTGAGAGGAACTTGAGTTCCTCTGCTCATGCCTCAGTGCCAACCTCCCACCCCAATTTACATTCTCATCTCAGAGGTCTTCTCTTCCATGAACTTCTTTCCAGAATTGCTCAGGTTAGGTTAGTTAGACCTGACCCTAGAAAAGCTTAAAAGTTTATAAAAGTTTATCACTGTACTCAACAGGTTACCAAATTTGAGAGTGTATTCTGACTAGAGTGCAAGCAGACTGGCTCATTCATATTTGTATCATTAACAAGCAGAGTAAACACATATGTACTAAATATGTTTCCTTAAAGCCCATAATCCAAGTGAATAGCAGGAATCATCTATTCAATCAATAAGACATTTACTGGGTTCTGGTTACATGACCATTTTTAAATTATAGAAGACTTTTTTCTTTTTCAAAAATCTACTAATGCTATTATTATATTGTTTTCACCATCATGAAAAATAATATAGTCATACACACAACAATATTTGCATCACAGAAGACTTTTGATATATCAGGCAAACCAATGATATGCTCCAAGCCTTAAACAAGTTGGCAAAAACTACTAAATATAATTTTTTCCCCACAAAGTTGATGTTAACAAAATTCCTGGTAAGATCACCTTGTAAGTAGATACACAAAATGCAAGCTATAGAAAACAAATGTAAAAAAAAGTAACACTAATTTTAGTATTTTGAATTTTCATAAACAGCAATATCTCAAAAATGAGAATGCCACACTGCTAGAAATGCTTGCATAATTTAATTAAAAGTAGAAAAGCACAAACAGTAGTCATAATAGACAAAGATCAAGAAACAAAATATATCTTGGACAATCAAATTTGAATTGGGTTCTGTATTTCCAGTGCAGCATACCTGTAGTTTGATTGGGGCACTTGGTCAAGACCTCTGGTGCTCTGAATCCTGGTGTACCTGCCCTTGGGGCAACTTGTTGCCGTCTTATGATGAAGAAATAAGATTTTTCTAGTCATGTGAAAGTTTAACACTTAAGACTAACAAAATAAGTTTATTAAATTTATTAATTTAGTTCACAGTAAATTTTAACTTGACATCTATTTAAAGTTATTATAAAGCAAATGATAATCCAGTGTGCTGAATATCCTAGATTTTGTGTCCCGCCTCCCCCCACCATTAGTTCTCTGGTCTTATGCCAGAAAAGTTTTAAGGTAACTTCTAAGCATAAAAAGAGGAAGTAGATAATAAGAATCATAATAGAAAACTAAAATATAATAGGTATTCAGAGGTATAAAAAAATAATTTCTGTTTGGGGTGATTAATTACTGGTATACTTATTCACTTATGCACTTCAATTAATCAGAAAAGGCTTCATGAAAGCCAAATCTTGAAGGAGAGGGAGAAATTTATGAGGCAGAAAGTTGGAGGTGGGAGTGAGAGAGGAGCTCCATTATTTGGTTCTGTTTATTCCACACAGACAGGAATAAAGAAAAACAGAAAAGATTACATCAGTTAGAAAAATGTGAGATTGCATGGTTCCAAAAAAGCTATTTCCCCCTTTCAAAATTATCTGCATATAAGAGCAAATGTGTTTTCCAAAGAGCATATGCATGTCAAATGAACAACATATGAGAAAAGCTATGATTTGTCCTTCAAGGTACAGCTCCACATCAGTGCCTGTGTAGTTCACAGATTTGTCTTCCTCCTTTTCACTCAACTAAATCAACTGCCCACCAAAATCAATGCAATTTCTAACCTTGTCTTACAATATGCCGGTGATTTTACAGCACCATCAAAGCACATTACCTTGAAAGGCATATACTGCAAACTTTATCTGTTGCATAACAGTCGCAGGTTGGGTTAGCAGGGCAAGAAGTGGTAGTTTTCCTCATCCCACCGTTTATAACTTTGGTAGAAATAACCTTCTTTTTTGTTGCTAACCTTCTTGAGAATATATCCACAGTTTTTGACTGCTTCATAAGCTGCAAAAGAAAAGTCATTATTTTCTATTTTCATGATATTTAACATGATGTCTTTAAATGCTGGTATGGCAAAAACCAGTAGCGAAAGCGTAACTTTTAAAGCTGCTAGATGTGCTATATGATTGTAAAAAAAACAGTTGTCTATTAAAATTTTAAGGTCTTTCTCAGTGGTTTTTCTGTGGAATAAACTTACTTTAAAATTTACTAATTAGTCCTAATTTGGTAAATAGTTGACTTATACTTTATTAGAACTTTTCCTGATACATTTACAGGAGTATAAAACAGTTCTAGTGTCTAACTCCATTTCAGAACTGTAGACTGCACAATTACACTGGCTAAAATCAGAGTTTTAATTTGTTGCTCATGCTGTCTAGCTGTTATAAAATATTTAAGAACATCTACCACTGATGACAATTTAACTTTACAAACATTTTTGTGCAATTAACTGTGTGTCAGAACTGTGTTAGGTGTTGGGAGCTCACATTCTAGCCAATAATGAGAGAACAGGCCTTAATATTCTAAATGTTTCTCTAGGGAAAGAGCAACAATAGTAAGCTAACCAAAAATGATGAAAAATTCTACCACAATTCAGGAAAGAGCTGGAGAAAATAAAAAGTTTTGACTCAGTGCTCAAAGAAATTATACCCTGTGCCAAAGCAAAACTCTATTTTTTAAAAATTGCTGCTAATAAATGCTAACCTAATCATTACCTAAATGGTCTTCAGGGTATGACTGACTGATCATTGCACTATTAAGCTACATTACTTACTTTCACTGCAGGGCTCTCATGTGAAATGGAGCTGTGTATATTGAAATTTCTTTCTCCAAAAACAGAGCGCTGGACAGAAAGGCCTACAGATCCCTCCTACAATACCAACAAAAACAAGGAAAATAAGGATTATATCTGTAACACTTTCTGCCAGCTGTACTCTGCCATAGTTTTGAAAGAGTTAAGTGACATAAAACAAAACCAGCTGCATCCAAGTCATTTTCAGGCACCAAAACACTTCTGTGAAAGGAGAAAATAGTCTAGACAGAACTCTTAACACCCATACAATGTTATCACAGTCCACAAATATACATACCTAAAAAAAATTAAACAAACGACCTGCATGAATGTTACATTTTGCTGTGCAGCTAAAATGGAGATAGACACTTCAGAATTTTTCCCCTATAACTAATGCTTCTTTTTGAAAAGGATATTTAATCTGAACTTTATAACATGCAGGGAAAATATATTATTTTCCTATTTGTCATATAATGTAATTTTGGGACACACAGTAACAAAGACACTCTAAATCTACCAAGTTAATTTGTTTTAAAATAGTAAGCAAAATGATTTAGTACAAATCTTTGTGAAAATCTAATCAACTGAACACACATAACAAATGTAAAAAAAGTTTCTTAATTGCATATATTATCCTAGTATTATATCACCCTCTGTTGGAAGAAACAGTACACTTCAGAAATACAAAAGGCAGAACCTTTCCATCTTTTCCTTGTTTAATCTGCATTTGTGCACTTGTGTAGGGCCTTTTAACAGACGTTTTTGTGGTGGGCTGCTGATCCAGCTCTTTAGGCACTGGGCCACTCAATGAAATCTTGTTTCCTGTGATTATGTGGGACTTATTTTGTGAAGAACTTTCCTGTTGAGCCTCAGACTGGACAAATTTAAGAAGCTCTATTTTCGTATCATGAGTTCCTTGGGCCAAACCAAAGTCTACCAAGGCGTACCTAAGAAACAAAATTAAGCAATTTTACTTCTGTGTAACAAAGATTTAGTAACATCATAATACTCTCAAACCGTATTCACACAGAAATTGTAATTCTGGGGGGGATCAATTAAGAAATTTATCAGATTCCTGAAAAAAGAAAAGGAAAATAAGTTTTCCAGACAAAGTAAGCATCTCATAGCTAACTACAGGGTCACTATGAGTCAGAACTGACTAGATGGCAATGGTGTGGTTTTTTGGTTTTAGGGTTAAAATTATGGGAAGATGCATTCCAATCAATCAATCAGTCCATCAGCCAATAAATCTTTTCTTTTTCCAATGATCTGCTACTCGCAAGTCAGAAGAGGAATGCAAGCACAATCCTTTGCTCTCTGGTGGTGGCAGAGACGGCACCACAGCATGTAAGTTCTAATTAAAAAGCTTGAAAGAAAATAAACTAAAATCATGGTTTTAAAATCTAATTAAAGAAAGTAGAAAAAATAAAAGTCAAAAAAATAAGTTATAGTTCTATTCTTATCATTACTCAACATCAGCGATCCACTGTATAAACAGCAATATTTAAGTAATTTTCAATTTATAATACCTATATGCATATAAACAGCATAAAAATATACATAAAAACAGAACTTCAGTGCTGGAACAGAAAAGTGGCTATCATGTGGTTCAATCTCATTTACTAGAAAAGAAAAACAAAGCTCAGAGATAAAAGACATGTATAAGGTCAAGTAGAACTAGACCCTTTCTACAACTCCTTTTAGCTCAGTGAATTTCCACTGAATCACAGTATGTCACATGATATATGTATATTGCTTTAATAATACAATTTTGTTTTCTCACTGCATTTCCCTTCCCCAATCACGGTGAAAATTTGAAATAAATAATTTGTCCATGGAGATTACAGTATGTTCTATGAGTAAGACATGGATCCCTCAGTCTTCAAGTGTAAATATTTTCTGGTAACTTTTCATACTTACCTTTTCAGGCGCCTATTATATAAAAAATTGCTGGGCTTAACATCACGGTGAACAATACCAAACTGATGAATGCGTTTCAAAGCTTTGAACAGATTAAACATATATTCCCGTACTTCTTGAAAAGAAAGAGAATTCAAAATGTCCTAAAATAAAGTTATGAATGAGGTCATAAAATTGTTTTCAATTAAATATTTAGGTAATAAAAAATCAAGAAATATTCAAACCTACCAAAAAGGACTCATGCTCCAGATATGGCATAGCAATAACCACATGATCATTTTTCCTAAAGCAATATTTTACTCCCATGACATTGTCTTGCCCCCTAGTGGAAAAATGCAAAACGAACTTTAGAGAAAAGGTCAAAGGAATTGAAACTTTATTCCTGTTTTTTTTTTTTCAAAACATAATTTTAGCAATACACAAATAATGCTAGAAAACTAAGTTAAAATCATCATCATATTAACATATATGCATATTTAACTGACTTGTTTTAGGAGACAGTTTTCTTAAAAAAAAAAGCACCAGTTATTAAGGTTACTACAATAATTCAAGTATGAAATAATTATAGTTTTAACTGGGGACATGGTAGTATGAAACGAAAAGGATGAATAACAAGAATGAATTATCAGGACATAGTAGCAGGTAAGATGATAATGGTAATAAATACATTTAAAAAAACAGTAATTGCTAGCATTTATTAAGCATTCACTATATGCCAAACTCTGTTCTCAAGACTTCATATGTATTAACAAATTTACTTAACCTTCAGAACAACCTATGAGGTAGGTGCTATTACCCTATCCCCCCTTTACAGATGAGGAAATTGAGGCACAGAGAGGTTAAGGAACTCCCCAAGGTCACTAAACTAGTAAGTCAGAGCCAGAATTTGAATCCTGGCTGTTTGCTCCAGATCCACGCTCTTAACCACTATGCTGCACAGCCTCATAAATAATGAGGAAAATGGGGTAAAATTATTTTCATGGATTTGAGCCTGAGAGAGTAAAAGAATGAGGATAACAACAAAATAAGTAGAGAAACCAGGAAAAAAAGTATCTAAACCAAAAACTCATCATTTTGTTAGAGATACCTAGATATGGGATTAAAGTTTAAGTGAAAAGCTGGGTGAGAAGTCAGTGTGAGTACGTGCACAGAAGTGATACCTAAAACTGTGAAAATGAGTAGACGAAAGAAAAAACTGTGCCTTGGTAAAAGTCTCAAGCTGGACAGAAAAATAAGGAAAAAGGGACAGAAAGCGGAGATAAGGATATCACCAAAGTGAGATGTTTTAAAAGAAAGGGTGATCAACACGGGGGTCAAAGAGATTAAGGACTGAGGGAAGGCTTTTGGTTTGGTAAACAGGAATTATCTGGTAATTTTTCAGAGAGCAATTTAAGTGGAAAGGAAGAGGCAAAACAAAATTTCCGAAGGGAAAACAGGATACAATGGAAGCAAAGCATAAAGACAATTTGCCTGAAATCCCTGGCAAGGGGAAGAAGAAAAAACACTACGGGAGCTAGAAGGGCAGCAAGATCAGATGAAGACTCACTGTAGCACGTACTTTTCTGAGGCACAGGGAAAGGAAAAGTGGTAGAGGGAGACACTGAAAGTGTGGGAAAAGGAAGGAGTGACCTTAGTTGAGAGGACTAGAATGGATGTAATCAAGCCTTAGAGAGGCTGCCATCTCATCATCCCATCTTCTATAATAAACAGAGGGGTGGAACAATGAAATTAGTTCATTCATTCATTCAATAAATACTTTGTGGGTACTGTTATTTGTCAGGCACTATGTTAATCATTTGGAATGCAATGGTGAATAAAATTAATACGATTTCTGCCCTCATGGAGTTTATTATCTAGTGGACGATACAGATAATAATCAAAGTAACAAATGATGGCAAATTAGGATAAGGATTTTGAAAGAAATCAAAAGGTGCCATGGCAATGAAAAATAGGAGGGGTCCAATTTAATTCAGAGAAGACCACTTTGAAGCCGTGCTACTTTTACTCAGATCAGAAAGATGAGTCAGCACACAAAACTAGGGTGGGGTCTTCCAAATGGGAAAACAGCACGTGCAGTGGGCTCCATGGTAAGAAAGCTCGAGACAAATTTGAGGAACTAAAGAAACTGGACAGCGAGAGAGCTGGGAAGACTGGCGTGAGATCAGGTAGGGAGAGACCGAGAGGCAAGCAAGCCCTTGGTTAAACACAAACTTAAAAGGTCATGATACGGTTTAGGGTTTTCCCCTGCCCCAAGTACAGTGGTAAACCACTGAACGATTTTAAGTGGTAGAACTAATATTACCCAATTTATGTTACACATATACATTTATATTTTAAAGATCACTTTGGCTGCTGCGTGAAGATGAAATTGGAGGGAAGAAGAGAAGTGGTCTAGGCTTGGACTGAGGTAGCACTATGCAGTGGAGATAAAAAGAAATGGCTGGGTTTTTAGATATATTTTGGAGGCAGAACGGCCAGGACTTGGCAATTGATGTGGCTTAGGAGAGAAATGGAGAACTGATTCCTAGGTTCTTGGTTTGAACAACTGGGCAACTTGGTGGTGCCATTTGCTAAGATGGGTAAATGAAAGAACAGGTTACAGGGTTTTTCAGGCAGAAGAGTGGAATAACAATTTCATTTTGGACGATTAGGTTTTGAGATGTTTGAAATGTCAAATGGGCAGGTGAATATACACAAATCTGTAGTTAAGTGGTCTGAGGACAGATATATACTTTCGGAGATCCTTATTACATATTTGAAGCCATGTGGAAATGCATGATACTACCTAGGCAAGAGTACAGAGAAAGCAAGCTGAGGATCAAGCATTGAGGAACTCCAACATTCAGGGGTCAGGTAGAAGAGCAAAAGCTGGCAAAGGATACTGAAGATGAAAGTCCAAATGAGGCAGGAAGAAAACCAAGAGGGTGTGGCAAAAGACAATGGTTGAAGTCAATTATGGTGAATGCTGCTGAGAGTTCATGTGAATAGGAACTGGTAAAATGGCAGTTGCAGGTGACTCTAACTAAGGTAGTTTAACTTTACCCTAGAGGAGAGCAGCCACAATGATTGTGTAGTGAAAAGGAGGTGTGGAAGTGGAAACAATACGTGCAGACAATTTTTGAAAAGTCTGGCTGTGAAAGGGAGCAAAGAAATGATGGGGCAGCTGGAAGAGGGAGGGCACTTCAAGGAGGATGAGGGATACTAGATCATGTCCATATGTTGATAGGAATGACTCATGAAAGAGACCAACGAGAAGGACATGCCAGATGATTGTTGTTTTCAGTAAAATATGAGATGAGGATGTTAATAATAATTGGGGAGACATGAAATATGAGTTCTCCACACTTTATGTTAAATTTAGACCATGGAAGCCAAAGCTTATGATCTGGCAGGAAGGTTACAAGAAGTGGTAAAACAACACAAAGTCAAGCTGAGCCTCTAGGGAAATCCACTCTAACAGAATCAATATAAAGTTAACTAATCGTTCCAGGGTTAGAGGAAACGTGCTAGCAAATTGCAAACATCTGACTGAAGGATATGTTTAATTCAGGGACAATCTCATCATCTCTGATAAGCATCCACTTAAAAATCTTATAAATTATATACAGCTAGTTCAATTCAAGGATCTTTAAATTGCCTACCCAGCCACTGTAAGGCACTGAAGTTCAGCGGCAATTCTTACAGGATGACTTGTCGGAATTAAGTGTTTCAGAGCAATTTTCTCTTCAGGTCCTACTTGTAACTGTGCTGTGGCCAAATAAACAGAGCTGAAAGTGCCTGTAAAACAATTTATTACATTTTTCAGTATTTGATTTTTTAAAATGTTAATGAACCAATGCTAAAATAGATCCTAAAAGCTGTTTGAAACCCACAAAATCAACACAATCTATCGTTAATAGTTTAATGACATTGAACATAAGAGCAAATACATCTGTAAATAAATTCTTTAATTTTTAATACATTCTTAACTGTCCTCAGTTCAACATCTGTAGAAAAAAAATAAATATACCAAACCCATTGCTGTCGAGTCAATTCTGACTCACAGAGACCCTAGAGGGCAGAGCAGAATTGCCCCCATAGGGTTTCCAAGGCTGTAATCTTTATGGAAACAGATTGCCACATCTTTCTCCCGTGGAGCAGCTGGTAGGTTCCAGCTGCCAACCTTTCAGTTAGCAATCAAATGCTTAACCAGTATGCCACCAGGGCTCCTTAACATCTGTAGAGGGTACATTAATTTGCCAACACTCCACAGTAAAACTGTTTGACTGGGTTAGCATTAAATATTTCCATGGTCATGACCTATTCTAGTAAGTATTCTTCTATAATATTATCATTTGAACTTTCTTAAGATCAGGGTCCCAGTCTGTTAGAACTATAAATCTTACAGGGGAAAAGAAAAAACCTGCAAAAACACGTGTGCCTTTAAATTTAACATTAAACTAAATGGAAAAAATTAAAATTTGGTGGTCAATTAAGTTTGATAAATACTGATTACAACAAATTAAATAGACTGCTTTACTATAAAATTTTCAGAGCCTTTAATGTGCTAAAAAAAAACAAAAACCCAAACCCGTTGTTGTCGAGTTGATTCCGACTCATAGCGACCCTATAGTAGGACAGAGTAAAACTGCCCCCATAGGGTTTCCAACGAGTGGCTGGTGGATTTGAATTGCTGACCTTTTGGTTAGCAGCCAAGCACTTAACCACTGCGCCACCCAGGGCTCCTTAATCTGCTAAGTACATCCTAAATAACCAAGAGGGAGCTGTAACATGCTACATTTCCCAAACTTAGTCTTAAAATATCCTCCCTGCGAAACAGCTGTCAGTTTGTTGGGGAGGGGGGCACTAGTGTTCTCCAGAACAACGCTTGTGAATGCTAACTTAAAGAGAAATAAAATTATAAAGATCTGCTCCTTCCATCAGCTGTGTTACAATCCCGAATCATCTCATTTTATAATTTCTCTATCCCCACTGACCAAGCCTTTTCGTATCTGACAGTTTTTACTTTAAAAAGAAAGTAACCAAGTAAGTGGAAGTTTTTACTATTCAGGCATTTTTCAGCGTAGTCACCAAAAAGTTCTATCATCTTTTACTTTGTCATTTCCTTTGTACCCGCGTGCCAAATTCACCCTTCAATCAATCAATACGACTGCTCATCTCTCAATGGTATTTATGTTAATATTAACCATTCTATAAATATTATACCACTCTCATTGTTTTGCCATCTTAGGCTTCATATATATATATATTTTTTTTTTTTCATATATGTTTTAGTGTACTATTCCACCTAACTGCAATGAATAAAGAGGGAAAAAGATTTGACTTCCTTGATCAAACTGCCCCGTTTGAATCTTAAAGTTTTCATTTTAAATAATTACTAATTACCATAAATACTCTAGAATTAGTATATTAATACTTTTAATAACATAATAAAGTAGGACTGCCCATTTTATTGTAAATATTCCTTCATTCATTACAGGAAAACAGAAAAGCTGTTAACACAATTACTAATATAGCCAGAGTCTTAATATTTTAGTAAGAATAAGGGATACATTTTTCAGTAAGAAATAATAATAAAAATCAAGATCATACCAGGAAAACTGTAAGGAGAAAAAGCTTGTAAAGACAATAAAATATGTCTCAAAATTACCTTCTCCAATTTTGTCCTTAATCTCAAACACATTACCAAGCTGTGGTACAGCTTCATAAAGCTTCTCAATATCTTTTTTAACACCTATTAAGGAAACAAGAATTTATAGTTATAATTAACGAGTGTATAATTCATAGTTTAAGTTTAAAAAAACTTGATGAAATGAATACTTGAACATGACAAATTACAAATGAAGTTTTAATAAACCTTGAAACCATGACAAGAATTAAAACCCCATACAGCTGCTGTAACTCACGCCCTCCTCTTGAACTGATAAACAAAATTGATAGTCCCAGTATTAACGTACACAAAATTACTGCTACAGGTAGCTCCCGACTTATGATGTATTCAAGTTATGACAAACCACACTTATGGCGGTCAGTATACCTGGAATACTGCATCTTCCTGGGAGGAAATTATGAGAAAATGCATGCAGAGGTATGGAAAAAAATGTTGAGTTACATGAACACACTCCAAGCATTTGATCATGATAATATGATGGAAGTTGATGAGTGGGAAAAATCATCCATATGGCAAGAGGGCTGAATTTAGAACTTGGTATCACCAATGTGGAACACTTCATAGATTATGAAGAAGGGGAACTGACAGACCAGGACAATGAAGTTTGAAGAGGAAAGAAATGCTGAAGAAGAAATAAAGAGGAAGAGGAAGGAAAAAAGTTATCAAAAAAAATTTTACAGTAAAAGGATTAGCTGGAGTTTTTTCTAAACTAATTCAGGGGCTTCAGTTGCTTGAAAACACAGACCCAAATGCTGATCGCTTTGCTAAAGTCAATAGGCAGATTCAGGAAGCTTTCAGTGAGATGTTACAAAATACAGTATGAAGAAAAAAAGAAAAGAATCATACAGACAACTCTCACTAATTTTCTGACTAGAAACACCATCCCCTTTCCCAGGGATAATTCAGATGATCCAGAACCTTTCACCAGCGGAGTTATTACCACAACTGACAAAACACCAATGTTATCAAACTCTTCTTCATCATTGGAGTAAATGTTTATGATCTGTGTATTTTTTTATGTATGAATGTATTAACATGTATCTGTAAGTTTATATGTAATGTTTCCAACCCCTAAAGACAAAGATCAGACTTATAAACATACTTATAATAAAAGGCCATAATAATGAAAACTGGAAAAAAAAAATGAGGTATTCAACTTATGTCAGAACTGACTTACTATGGAGTCACTGTAAGTCAGAACCCTGTGGTAACATAAAATAAATGTCTAAAATAAAAAATAATGACAACAACAAATGCTGGAAAGGATGTGGAGAAACTGGATCACTCAACACATGGCTACTGGGAATATAAAATGGAACAGCCATTCTGAAAAAGGGTTTGGCAGTTTCTTAAAAACAATAAACAAGCAACTACCGTATGACCCAGCAATTGCAGTTGTGGGCACTTATCCCAGAGAAATGAAAACCTGTGTTTTACACAGAAACCTGTATATGAACGTTCACAGCAGCTTTATTCATAATAGCCAAAACTAGAAATAACCCAGAAATCCTTCAATGGGTAAATGGTTAAATAAACTGCTTACATCCATACCATGGAATACTACCGAGCAGTAAAAAGAAACCAACTATTGACACATACAACCACCTGCATGAATCTCGAGAGAATTAATCCCAGTAAAAAAAGGAAATCCTGAAAAGTTACATGATGTATACTTTTATTTATATAACACTCTTGAAATGACAAAATTACAGAAATGAAGAACAAATTAGCCAGGGTTTAAGGAAGGGGTAGGGGCAGGAGGGAAGCAAGTGTGGCTATAAGGGCAACATGAGGAATCCCTGAGGTGATGGAAATGTTCTGTATCTTGACTGTACCGATCTCAACTACATACCAACAGATAAACTGTCATTAAATAGAATACAACACAATGAAGAAGATTAAAAAAAAAAGAAAAACTGAACAATTTGTGCTGCAATCACTAGATGGCATAAAGACACAATGTAATTTTCTTCAAAACTACTTCCTTTCCCAAAAGGTACAAAATCGTATACGCTTGGAAAAGTTTTATGTATTGACTATTCACAGTATACCCTCAGAGAGGTCTACTAAAGCTCTCAGAAATGTTAAAAAAAAAATGTATACACACACACACACACACACACACACACACATATATAAATTACCAATAATACCCTCTATCCTTAACAGGAGCTAAATTGCTACTTTCAAATAAATATAAGCTTGCTACAAAATAAGAGGAAGCAATAATACAAACTGCAATAAACTTACTGGATAGAAAAGAGAGCTACATACATAAGAATCTTCAGATTTTATTATAATATCTAAGTCAAGCATCCACTACTTTATCACAATACTACTCTGCATAGCGAAACAGCTTAAGACATTTTTAAAGCACTTTACATGTATTATCCTGTCAGATCTTCACAAAAGTACTATGATATTGGCAGAACAGGACTTATTATCCTGATTTTTCAGATAAGAAATACTATTCAAGGTAGTCAAATCATTTTCCTAATTCCACAGAGGTACTGCCGGTAAGTCTACAAACTCATTCATGTAACAAACACCATGTTTTTAAAAATGCTCAGCAGTGGGCATACCAAAAATGAAGAAATCTGGCACACCTTTTAGGAGCTTAATCTAGTAGAGGCAACAGATATTAAAAGCTCATAATGAGATAACTATAATAACAGAGGGTAAATGAACTCCTCTGGAGTGGGAAGCTGCCTTCAGCTGATAACCAAACTGCCTTCTGCAGTATTCACCACTTAGAAAAGGTGGAAGAATACATTTTAGGAAAAAGAAACTAGGTATGCAAAGGCATGGAAAAGGAAAAAGACATGCATTATTTGGGAGAGATGAAGTTCAGTGTGGCTGGGGGAGAGAAATGCAGAATACAAGTGAAAGCCATGGAAGGTTTTTAAGCAGGAAAATGATAAGTGGGGAGGGTGGACTTAAAGGAGAGGAGGAACATCGAAAGCTGGAGATCAAATAAGAGACTACTATGAAGATCTAGCTCAGTGTTCTGTCCTCTATATCAACCTATCTAAGGAAATGGGAAGGGTTTGGGAAATAAAAGAATGTACTTAAATTACTCTTACCTTCCTACATACTTCATAGGTGGGCTAGAGAAGCTTTATGGATTTCAATATAAAATTATGACCACTAGTTTTGGAGACGCAAGCCTAGGTTAGAATCTTGGCCCCACTATTTACCTGCTGGTATAACTTTCCTTTAGCACACTGTGTGAACCTTAGTTCCTGTCTTAGTGTGCTGCTATACCAGAAATACAAGTGGATGGTTTTAACAAAGAGAAATTTAGTCTCTCACAGTTTAGGAGGCTAGAAGTCCTAATTCACGGTGCCTGCTCCAGGTGAAGGCCTTCTCCCTCTGTTGGCTCTGGGGGAACAGCCATGTCATCAATCTTCCCAGTCTAGGAGCTTCTAAGCACAGGAACCAGGGGTCCAAAGGATGTGCTATTCTGCTGGCTCTTGTTTCCAGGTGGTATGAGGTCCCCATCTCTATGCTCATTTCTCTCTTTTACATCTCAAAAGAGATTGACTTAAGACACAACCTAACCCTGTAGATTGAGTCCTGCCTTATGAATATAACTGCCTCTAATCCTGCCTCATTAACATCATAGAGGTAGGATTTACAACACACAGGAAAATCACATCAGATGACAAAAACGGTGGACAATCACATAATACCGGGAATCATGGCCTAGCCAAGTTGACACGTATTTGTAGGAGACACAACTCAATCCATAACAGTTCTCCAACTATAGAAAAGGGGTAGTAATAGTACCTATGGCACTGAGATACTGCGAGGATTAAATGAAATAATATACATAAGTGAAGCTTTTAAGACAATGCCTGGCATACAGTATTAGAAAAAAGACAGTGGTAATTATTATTGTTGAAGTTATTATTATTCCTTTAGGGCTCTTGCGCTTATTCTCTTTGCTTGAAATGCTGTTCCCTCAAATCTTCATGTGGTGGCTCAATGTCACAGTCTCCTCTGACATCCTACTTAACTAGTACTCTTCCCATTGCTCACATTACCCTGGTTTATTGTCTTCAGAGTACGTAACCACTATCAAATTATTCTGTTTATTTTTCATTTGCTCACTGTCTCCTCCCACTAGAATACAAGCTCCACCAGTACCAGTTCTTGGTATAATTCACTGCAGTACATTCAACTCCTAGTTAAAACAATGCCTGGTACATTTGTTGAACAAATGAATTATTATCATCATTACAGGCATTCAGAGATAGCTGTACAAAAAGCAAAAGGTCAGCAATTACAACAGAGTGAAGCCAAAGATTGTATCACCGACCTCATTATCAGCTACCAAACGACCTCTGGAAGTCAACAGTAAAAGTGGCTTTCAAGGAGTCAGTTGCCACCAACCAAAACCAAACCCATTATTGTTGAGTCGATTCCAACTCACAGCGACCCTACAGGACAGAGCAGAATTGACCCATACAGTTTCCAAGGAGCACCTGGTAGATTTGAACTGCTGACCTTTTGGTTAGCAGGGATAGCTCTTTTCCATAGTTGCCACAGTCAATTACAATTTTTCCTGATGAGTGTCAATTTTAAACAGTTTCAAATTCCACAGTGTCACAGGAAAGCCATCAAGAACGGGTACTAAAATGATATGCTGAATTTGGTATTAGATTCCTTTGATTCTAAGACAATTTTAACAACTCAGAAATTGGGATGCATCTTATAATTGCTGTTGGACTTCGTCAAAATTTACAAGAAAACTTGGGAAGAAAATCCAGGAGAACATACAGGAGCATTCACTTAATCTTTAAGAACCAAATGTCGGCAGAGACGAGCAGTGGAGATGGAGAAGAAGATATCAAATGCAGGCCAGCTCCACATAACTGGGCTCTTTTTTAAGAGCCTATCAACAAAGGTCCTGGTGGCTCAGTGGTTAACAGCTTGGCTGCTAACCAAAAGGTCAGCAGTTTGAATCCACCAGCCACTCCTTGGAAACTCTATGGGGCAGTTCTACCCTGTCCTACAGGGTCACTATGAGTTAGAAACAACTCAACAAAGGTTTATTTTTTTTTTAATGGATTCTTCAAAGAAATTGTGGATCACTAAGTACAGAGGAGGAGTCCTGGTGGCTCAAGGTGAAGCACGCGGCTGCTAACCGAAAGGTCAGGAGTTCTAGCCCACAAGCTTCTCTGTGGGAGAAAGATGTGGAAGTCAGCTTCCATAAAGATTACAGCCTTGGAAACCCTATGGGGCAGCTCTACTCTGTCCTGTAGGGTCGCTATGAAAGGATCGACTCGACGGTAATAGGTTTGGTTTTTAAGTACAGAAGACAATATTGTGGTGGTGGGGAGGTAGGATATCAGAGTCTGAGTACAAAAAGTGATTCAGAAGACAGAGACCCTAAATGTGTATTTTCCTTTTTATCTACGTACTAGAGATACAGCAGTTAGGCAGCATTTCTGAGCAGTACATAAAATGAAAGTTTTTAAGAACACTATTTGTAGTCTTTTTATTACTAAATGTATTTATTGAAGTATTTCTATGCATGTCTTAATGTGTGATTAATAATACTGAAAGCTTTACAGTAGGATGGTACAGAGCCACTCTGTCTGCTACTTTCACGTGGCTATTTTAATTATTTTAAATTCAATAAAATTAAAAATTCATTTCTTTAGTCACACCAGCTATAATATATGTGACAGTATAGATATAGAAACATTTCCATTATCACAGAAAGTTCTATTGGGAAACAAAGATAAAGTCTGGAATCCAAACATCTAGATTCAACTCCTGTTACTACCATTAACCACATAAATCCTCTGTTTCCTAACCTGCGAAACAAACGGGTTGGACTAGATGAACTTTACGGTCCCTTCCTACTACAATAGCCTATGATTTTCCTGTGATTTCCATACTTTGGCACGTCTCTTTGCGTAACGATGAGCTGGCAGTTAAGAATACGGATGCTGGTTAATTGTTAGAAATCTACAGAAAGAAAATACATGTAATAAGAAAATATTGTAATGCACAAGCCATGTGTGTGACTGTTTAAGTTTAATGTGCTTCCACTCACCGCTACTCATTTACTATATACTCACCCATCTTTACAGAACACAAGATATGTTTATATTAAGGTTTCTTGTCACTGCAGAGCAATTGTGACATTTAACAGTAAAACTTCCTGGCAACCAAAGTGTACGTGATAGCCTCAAATTCTAAAGTGGGAGATGACAGGATAGCAGCAAAGAGCATTCATGTCAAAAGCTGCCAAATACTACCAACGGCAGAGGCAGATAAATACGTACTTTGAGCGTTTGAGGGAAGACGCTGAAAAGTCTAACCTAGGCAAGTTAAAGATTTATTTAAATGCCCATGTTTTATACAAGAGACTCAAGGCTTCTATTTTGAAATTTTATGCAAATTTTGTCTTTTGCTTTATAATATATCCAAATTGAACCACAGACCTTTCGGTTAACAGCGGAGAGCTTAACCACTACCTCAACAGGGCTCCTTCGTATGTATACATAGGAAGACTAAAGGACTACAACAAAATGTCAACAGTGGCAATATTTGGAATAGGGTTATAGATAATTATTTTCTTATTTTGGCTTCTACATGCTTTCTAAATTTTCTTCAATAAGGATGTATAATTTTTATAAGGAAAAACAGGTTATAAAACTATCCTGAAAAAAAGGACCATGCTATTCATTATCCATTACTCCAGGTATTGTGTTATACCCTTACATTAAATCATTCATTCAAATATTTTTGAGTACCTACCATGTGCAGGACTGTTAGGTTCTGAGAACACAAAGATATGTAAAACACGTCCCACCATACAAGAGTTAGTCCATCAAGGGAAAGTATATAAAAAATTAGATCATGAGACAGTTAAATGCCTAGACTTCATCAGCTTTATTCCTTATGGAACCTATGGTTGAGTTATATTTTTTGATAAAAACCTTAGCCTTTATTAAGGGTCATATAAAAAAGAACCATGTGAATCAAATTTCAGCATATTTTATAAATTATCAAAGACACTATGTATAATGGTAGTCAACGTTCCTTTACATAAAGGCCACAACTTTTGAAATGTGGGATAAAATTCGTCCCACTCTTTATTTCCCAGCAGATTTTCAGAAGAATATTAGAATAGGAGCATTCTCCTGAACATAATACTAGAACCAAATCAGATTCATCCTTCGCACCCTGCCTAGCGCACAATGTAAGTCAGTAGCTATGGGAGATACTGTCTTCAAGGAGCTTATAGTATAAATTGAAGAGATTCAAAATACAAGAATAACACAAGGCAATACATGATGATGTGTCAAATGATTAATAAGGGAAAGCTAAATTGTGAAATACAGGTAATCTCAAAAAATGGAAGAGGAATAGCATCCATTAAACTGGACGGAACTGGCATTTTAAGATTACTCTAGTACCAGTGTACAAGATGAACTGGAGTGTAGAAAGGAAACGATAGCAGGCAGTTTAGGTAAGAAACTTCGCTACAATTCAGGAGCAATGCGATAAGGGAATGAATTAATGTGGTGGCAGTGGGAATGGAGCGGCAACGCTATACACATTAAAAAGGAAGATAAAGTTCGGTAACTGGATTAGGAAGCAAATACAAAGCATTAACTCCATGACAATTCTAAAGTTTTGAGCACAGGTAACTGGGATTCATCACCAAAATTAGGGAGACCAGGAAAGGTACTCATCTTGAGACCAAAGATGAGTTTTCTTTTAGTCAGGAAGCATAAGTATACACCAGGCATGGACAAAGGGCCAAAATTAATAGGCTCTGGACAAACACTAAATTCGCTTAAAAGAAAGATGGAAAAGATTTAGCTACCTTTAAAGGAAAAAAAAGAGTTAACTGGAACTCCTCCATTTAACAAATATTTACTGAATGCCTACTATGTCTCAGGTACTGTGCTAAACCAGGAATGAAGGCACACATTTTCGTGTTCAAGAGCAGATATTGTTTGACCCTCTCCTCATCCCAAGGTGTGGGATAAATGCAAACAACGCTTCACGATGCACACTGAGATATGTTGTTGTTAGCTGCCATGAGAGATTAATGGAGAACTGTCTCCCAACATGTACAAGGTGTTCAATAAAAATGATGTTTAACAGGTTTAGTAACAGAAATATTTAGATCAGACCATAAATTTTTTTTCCCCACCAAAGCACTCTGAGTGGCGGGAGAGAAGCAAACAAATGTATCACCTGGAATGCATTTTTATCAAAATGGATTAACAATCATGTAAATTATACTGTATTTTCAAATAAAATCTAGGATTGTTGTTAGCTGACATAGAATCAATCCCCAACTTACGGAGGCCCACAGAACAAATGCTGCCCAGTCCTGTGACATCCCTGTGACTGATTACAGATCAGAATGTTGTGAATGAAAGGGTTTTCCTTGGCTGATTTTCTGAAGTAGGCTTTTCTTCCTAGTCTGTTTTAGTCTGGAAGTTCTGCTGAAACCTGTTCAGCATTATAGCAACATGCAAGCATCCACTGACAGACGAATGGTGGCTGCACACGTGGTGCAATCGAATCAGGGTCTCTTGCAGGGAAGGCAAGAATTCTACCAACGAACCACCACTGGGGGGTTGGGGGGAGGTCCAAAGATATGGTGCTTTATTATTGCTACAAACATTTCATGTATTTGTGTCCGTGAATTCTGCCTTTGAATACTTCAGTAAAGATCCCTCCAGTGTCAGGGTTAACACAATATAGCGAGAAGAGATAAGAACATAGCTGTAGGAGAAGACAAATTCTAGACTGGGCATTAACAAACTTCGTGTTGTTAGGCAGTCACTGATGTTTAGACTTTGGAGCCCTGGTGGTGCAGTCGTTAAGGGCTCGCCTGCTAACCAAAAGGTCATCCACCAGCGGCTCCTTGGAAACCCTATGGGGCAGTTCTCTGTCCTATTGGGTCACTGTGAGTCGGAAAAGACTCCAGTGGCAACAGGTTACTGTTCAGACTTTAGCAACTTCATCTCTAAAGCGACAAGGCTGGATTACAATCCTCTTCCTAAACTGCAATCTAATCCTAAATCTAGATCTTATAAAGCTTTACTGATTCGTAAACTGTTCCTACATAACCATACAACTCACTTGGAAGATTCAAGTTATTTTTTTTTAAAGCAATTGAAAATTCAGAATTGTCACCTCTAAGTACATCTCTGGAATGAAACACGTACCTCCAAGTTTAAAATTCTGCTCATCTTTTTTTAACGAGCCATCAGCCTGAAGCCGGTTACACGGGTGAGAAAAGGCCATTGGCTCATCCATCTGAATCCCCAAAGACACCTCCATCACACAACAGGGATGCAAAGTACCAGCTAAGGGGTCATCTCCAAGGAGGAACAAAGCAGCTGTGAAAATAAGAATGCTGGGGAAGATAAGTTTAAATCACTCACTGAAGCAAGTACTAAAAAAATGCCACTGTCCCAAAGGGACAAACATTTTAAAAGCACCATATGTTCAAATCCCCAAAGGAAAGAAAACTGAACCATTTCTAAGGATTCCATTTGCTTTTACCTTCACCTTCTAGCAATTCCGGCAGCGGGCTGAAGGGAGAATGTCTACTCGGGGGACATCAGCAGCTGGTGGCGATGGGAAGGGTAGTGGGGGGCTGCTGGCGTTTAGGTGTTCGTGCGTGAGAGGGTGCGCGGAGCGGTTTGACCTGAAGGAGGAAATCGTGTGACCACTGAGACGGAACGCCAGGAAGCTCGTACAGGGACCCACGCGAGTTGGCAGAGAATACGGCCACGAGCCACGAGCGGCGGGCGGAGGAAGGGAAAGGGCAATGAATGGACATTAACCCGCCGCGAGCTCAATGGGGCAGGATCTTCCTCTCAGAGACCGCGCGGGATGCTTAGTGCGCAGACGCGCGATTTTCCCGCCGCAGGTCAGCGAAATCAGAACGCGTGGGGGTGGGGGATACTGCACTGCGACAAGACCAGTCACGAATTCCGAATTCATTTCTAGTCCCTCAAAAAGAACAAACCGTCAGAAACTCACGGTTTAAGGGAGTACGACTTCCGTGGCTCCCCAGATGCCTGGGTCGCCGGCTCCAATTGCTCCCCCTTAGCGAGTCGGCCAAACGCCCCTGCGCAACACTACCGCCTCGCCGCTTCAATTGCGCATGAGCACTAGAAAGCACTAGGCGCTTGCGTAACAGGGTTACGTTTTTTACCCAAGGCGGTTGCTGGCTAGTGCCTAGCCAGAAGAGCGGTTATAGAAATAAAATCTGAGACTAATCCTTTACGAGAAAGTAGAGTGAACTATTACGTTAAAGGCTCAAAACTATTTTCAGGAAAGACTATAATTCAGAGAAAGGAAAGCCTCAGTCCCTGGAGTCTTGAGACATTTCTCCATACTGTAGCCACACAAGGCATTGGGCAGCCTGGTTTAAGGGCACGCACTTTGTCTCCCTTTTTTCCTTTCCATTGAGTGCCCTGCCTCTCAGATAAAAACACACAAACACAAAATACCAGTTGCTGATTGTTTATGACTATTCACAGAAATGAGTACAGTGGCATTCGTTCAGTATTTATTGAGCACTTGAATATGAGGCAGGCAGGTGAATAAGAAACAAAAGTCGACACTTTATGAGGCTAAATTCTAGTGAGGCGGTGACAAACAAATGAATAAATGAACAAGATTCTTTTAGATAGTGGTTAGTGTCCCCGAGGAAATAAAAGAGAAGGAGCAAGAGCAGTTTTAGAGATGTAGTTAAGGCAGAAAGTTTAGTGTTTTGGAGAAAGAAAGATGTTCTTGAGGTTTGTTTCTTTGTTTGGTTGGTTTTTTTTTTGGCTGGGGGAGTGGTGGAGAACAGCAGAGAATGATCTAGTAGAGAAAGAAATTGTTGATGCGGGAGAAACGGAATACCGACAGGAATGAAGTTGTCAAGGAGGGTGAAGGGATGGATTCAAAGCACATGGAAGGGGATGTACCTTTGAAAAGAATCCAGGTTCCCATCCTTTTAACAGGAGGAAAAGACAGAAGGATTCTGATGCAGGTGATTTGTGTATGTGTTGGAGAATAATTTTCTACCTGATCGCATCGGTTTTCTTAATGAAATAGCTCAGAGGAAGGCAGGAAGGGGTATTAGAAGTTGGAGGAGTGAGAAAAAGTTCTGAAGTATCTTCTGAGTGAGAACGAACTGGGAGAAAGATTGTGATATTGGCATTAGGGTTCTCAAGTAACTTTCAGGCCAAGAAAATGCAGGCATGGAAAAGGATAGGTGGATTTAACTAAGGATGAGTATCGCCCAGAGAGAGAGGCAAGTGAGGAAGTGATTGTAATGATGCATCAGGGAATCTTTGGGAGGCTCGGAGGAATGGTGATTAGAAAAGCTGATAGAAAGAAAGAAAGCTAGGTAGATAAAAAGTCAGGAGAACAATGGATTGGAAATCTCTCTGTAATCTAAGAATTTGTATACTGGGGGTATGAGTTATAAAGATGGAAGTGGTGGATGGCGCATGGGGTGGTGAAAATCGGGGTTTCAGAGATAAGACCACTGGAGAGGATAGCTGAATTTGCTGGAGGAGAGGATCCATCTTGGTGTGAAAAGATAAGATTATCCTAACTCCAAGACCCATGTTCAGGCCACTACAGAGATACCAGTTATTTTGCCTAATCTACCTTCTCCCCAGGCAGTAAGTAATCCTCTCCTCCAGTCCCCATTAGTACTTCATGCATGGCTCCATTTCAGCAAACAGGCATAGGCAGGAAGTGCAGAATCCTGGGCCCCACCTCAGACCTACTGAATCAGAATCTACATTATAAAAAGATCCTCAGGTGATTTGCATGAACTTTAAAGTCAGAGAAGCACTGTTCTAGAACTCTGGTGCTCAACCTTGGCAGCACTTTAGAATCACCTGAGGAGCTGTTAAAAATTCTGAAGCTCAGGCTGCACCCCAGATCAATTACAACAGAATTTCTGGGTGTGGGAGCCAAGCATTACCATTTTTTTAACTTTCCAATTTGATTACAATGTGTAACGAAGGGTGAGAATCATGACTTAGAAGTTGGTCACATTTGTCTATAAAATCTGTTATTATAATGCTTGCCAAAGTTATTCCCCCCTTTTAAACATATATACCTGCTCCTAACTTACTGACATGGTTAGGTGCCAAGGACCAGGTCATTAAGCAAAAATCAGCATTATGCAAAAATGGAGGATGACCATATCAGATCACAAAATGGAGGATGACTACATAATTATATAACTGCCAAATTACATCATTACACAACTGCCAAATTACATCACTACATAACTGCCAGACCACTGGGAATCATGGTCCAGCCAAGTTAACTCATAATCTTAACCATCACAGCCACCATTACTCTCACCTCACACCTCAGCACTGGTTATTGCCAGAGGTATATCATTAATACTCAAAATAGTCCGATGGTAGATTTTTTGCTGTTGTTGTAAACGGGAAATGTTGGATAACAAGATAGTCGATAAATGAGTTGTTGTTATTTGGTGCTGTCAATCAGTTCTGACTTATAGCAACCCTACGTACAACAAAACAAAACACTACCCGGTACTGCACCATCCTCACAATCTTTGCTGTGTTTGACCATTGTTGCAGCCACTGTGTCAATCTGCTTCATTGAGGGTCTTCCTCTTTTTGCTGACCCTCTGCTTTACCAAGCATGATGTCCTTCTTCAGTGACTGGTCCCTCCTGATAACATGTCCAAAGTATGTGAGATGAACTCTCACCATCCTCACTTCTAAGGAGCATTCTGGCTGTACTTCTTCCGAGACAGTAGCTCCCTGTACTCCCCTTTTATTACGTTTTGTTATAATTAGTTGTTAATGTCAATCTTTCTCATTAGACTTGTTATCTCCATGACAGTAGGGTCAATTCCTGTCTTCAGCATGCACACTGAAGCTGGCCTGCCTGGGTTACCATGGACAAGTTACTTAACGTCTCTGGGCTTCAGTGGCTGCATTAATACAATGGTGATTTTTCATAGAGTTGTGCGGGTCAATGAATTAATAAATGCATATCGCTTAGAACAGTGCCTGACATGTGGTGAGCTCTGTGTGAGTGTTAGCCATGATGATGATGACAATGATGAGGATGAGGATGAGATTTCCTAACACAGTACTTGACACATATTAAGTGGTCAGTAAATATTTGTCCAATGCTATTGAATTTGTCAAGCAAATGAATGAGTAAAATGGAATAAGTGCACAGAAGAGAGATTGATTAACTCTGGGCCAGGGAGCTTTTTCTGGAGAAATTGAAATCCAAGCGGAGCTTTGAAAAATTAAAAGGTGTTCACCAGGTGAGTAGAGAAGGAAAAGGCAGTTTCTAATGCTTCTGTGAGGACTGGAACAGACAAATATGTTCAGGGAACTATAAGTTGTTTGGTATTACTTCATCACAAGTGAAGAAAGATTGATAGGAGATGAGCTAAAGAGTAGACAGGGACCACATCATGAAGCTTCTTTGTGATGTCCCAAAATGACGGCAATAGAGGTCCAATGAAGGTATTAAATGGTGGAGAAATAGAAATGGACTTGAGTTTTATTAAGATCACTTTGGACAGAAGGTGGAAAATGAATTAAAGGAGAAAGAGGCTATAAGCTGGGAGAGATTTCAATAAATGTTGAGAGAGAGAAAGAGAAGAGAGAACGAGAACGAGAGACAGACTGAGAGAAAGAACTTGAAATATATTACCTGAAATGGTCTCTATCACTGCCTTTTTGGAAAAGCTTCCAGTTTTGAGCCTATTCCTACCTGAGGTCTTATGCTGCCTACAGGCATTTCTGTTTTGTTTGTGTTTATTTCTCCTTGAGAGATGACGAAAGGAGAGCAAGCATCTAGTTTGTTTACAAACTATAAGGCTTTTAAAAAGTAAGAGTAGCAACTTTGTTCTCTTCATTGCTGACTTGACCACAAGCATGTTCCGTTTCTAGTGTTACCAAAGGAGGTCTCTTTTCAAAAGACAGCAGTTGAACCAACAATAACTAGGTCAGTGATTCTAATGAGTGGATTTGAGGAACAACTAAGCCAGTGAATAATGTGTCCCTTCTTCTGAGGTAGCCATGTTTGGGGGAGGTGAGCAGTGAGTCCCTGTTGTGTGCAGAGGTTGGGAGGGGAAAGCCTGAGCCCTGGACACAGGAGGAACCACCTGTGTGCATCCTGCTTGTCTGGGTGATGGATTGAGATTTGACTCTGCCTTTTTGGCTCCTCACTGAAGAGGAGAGTCAGTAGCTGTCGAAGCTATGGTCCAAGAGAGGTCACTAACATGGATGGTCCTTGCCTCCAGACGCATCTCTTCTATGGGAAGACACCCAACACAAGAGAGTATGCTGCTCTGGGTCCAAAGGTGGGAGACTGTGAACAAAGAGATCAGATACTCCCTATGTATATATAAAATACGGGCTCACAACAAGAGCTAGGCAGCTGGTGACACCACTTTCTTTTTTTCCCATTCCGCCTCTAATAAATAGGCTGGATTGTTTTTAAGAACCTGGTGGGTAGTTGACAGAGAATTGGGATAAGTTCTCCCCCACTGGCCTTTCTAGGTCCAGCAGGAGTTGAGGTAGTAGATAATATCTAAGCTTAGTCCTTCATTAAAATAGTGAGGAAAATGGGCATTTACACAGTACTGGCATTGAAGGATGTAAATTCTATCAACCAGACTGAGGGACCTCACCTCCATCCAGACACAATGAACAAAAATTAGAGAAGTTCAACAGCAGTGCTATAAGGGAAAACGTACACAATTCCCTCAATGACACTTAATGTATATTTGAGTTCTTGGCATAATGAGAGGAAGAGAAGGG